ACTTTCAGTTCCATGAGTTACAGGAGTGGCATCAGGATTTCCAGGAGGAATTTCTTGCCATACTTTGGCGTTGGGATTTAAACCAGCTCCTTTAGATGTTACCTGCGATTTACTATCAGAAACAGAAATCCCATGCCACTTAACCCTATAAATGCTCCACGAAGAGCAACATGTCTCCCTCCGCTCGGCTCGATCGTTCCCGCCGCCGAGACTCCAACCGGCTCACAGGCCCCGAGCCTCAATCCCTAGGATAAGGACACTCGTCTCTCGCCCCTGCACCCGGCAGTGGACCCGGCTCCTCCCCCCTACATTCCATTTTAAAAGTGGCTTTCCAATGACAGGGGGGAAAGAGTAATGACTATAGCTGACAACTTGAACATTTGAGCATTGTGATATGTCAGATGGACTTTATATTGGTAATCATTTTTTATTTATGATTCAGGGAAATTTCATCGTTAGTTCTCAGTTATTTATTTTATTTAAGGAATAACAGTGTTACTTAAGAGGCTTAAAAGCATAATGATTTATGTATCTCAAAAGACTGGCCTCTAACCTGGCATTCTTCATAAACTTAAAATAGATTTTAAAAATAGACCTTTTTTACCAGCTTAGTCACATATTTTTTTTCTGAATTATTATGGCTACACTTATAAAGGTTTGGTAGAATTGATCCAGCTCTGGTCATTACTGAGATTGTCACCTTCAAAATATACATGGGTCGTAAGAATTTATGGGGCTCCAAAAGACCAGGCTATGATCCTGATCCTTGATGTTCACCAATTTCTTGCAACCTTGTTTTCTATTCAATGGCCTTGATACTTGCTGGGCCCTCACTGCATCTCCTAACAGGTCACGGAGATAACCTTGAGAGCTCATCATAGACAGAGAGTTTTTCCTCACTGCTCCTCAGCATCCTCTCCACAAATATGTACAACCATTCCCTCTATTTTGAGAACATTTTTCAAATATCTCATAGGAACTCAACAGAAGTCAAGCCCTCCATTCTCTCAATTGCTCTCCCTTTAACTCATCTTTTCCTCAGATGGCCTATATATGATTTAATCATTGCCTTTGAAACACAAAGCAGTTTTAACTTCCATTAAGATAAAGTGTCCAGGAAAAATTAATCAAGATTACATTTAAAGTTGGAGTGTTGGGTAAAGAGAGATAGGAGAAGATTACTTATAATTCATTAAATTTCTCATATCACCAATAATTCCACTCTTAGGCATGCACCCCAAACCTAAAATTTTAAAAATTGCTAAATTAAAACTAAGGAGAGTATCTCTGTAACTTTAAGTTAAGCAAAAATGTCTCAGGACAGAAAACTTGCAAACCATTAGAGAAAACATTAATAAGTTAGACTTCATCAGAGTTAAAAACTTCTTGGTCTTCTAGCAAGAAAATATAAACTTCTAGTCATACCATCAAGCAAATTAAATGAAAAACCCAAGGTTGTAGAAAATATTCACCGTACATTGGGCTGACAAATGACCGGTAAAAATAAAAACTCAATCATGAGAGAGTAACTCAAACAGAAAGTGGGGAAGTAACTGTATGAAAGTGGGCTTGATATCAGTCATCAGAAGACTGCAAATTAAAACCACAGTGTGGTGCTACTGCACACTCAACAATGGCTAGAATTGTTTTTTAAAAAATTGACAATATCAAGTGTTGTCAAAGATATGAAGCAACTGAACTTTCCTATATTTTATTCATTATGCCAAATGCTAAGATCACTTTGAAATATTACGGCAATTTCTTATCAGCTTTAACATACACTTTATGACCCAACAGTCACACTCCTCAGTATTTATCCAATAGAAGTGAAAGTGAATGTCCATACAGAGGCTTGTACACCAATGCAGCCAAAAACTGAAAACAATGCAAAAATTTCCATCACTTTAATTAATTAATTAATTAATTACAAAATCAATAAAATGGAATGTGTGATAACTAACTTGACATATCAACCTAATTAAATATTTGGGAAAGTATTATGCTACACATTTCTGTAAAGGAATTTTTAGATGAGGTTAATATTTAAATTAGAGAGTTTGAAAACAGATTACTTTCCATAATGTGAATGTCAATCTTTTGAAAATCAATCCGATAAAAGCCTTAATAGAAAAAGATTGAACCCCCTACCAAAAAAATAATAATAATTCTGCCAGGATATTGCATTCAGCATCAAGTCTTCCCTAGGGCTTCAGCTTGCCAGGCTAGCAGGCAGATTTTTGGACCAACTTCTGAATCACATGAGTGAATTCCTCAAGATAAATTTCTTTCTATCAGGGGTAGGGAACATTGGTCCCATGGGCCATTTGAAGTACAGAAAATCTCTTGGTCTGGTCCTGACAAGGCAACTGCATGCAGTACTCAAATATTAAATATATAGCAGTCTAATTTTTAAGTTGATATATTTGTGTGGCCCACAAATTACGTTATCAATTTCCAAATAGCCCTTGGCAGAAAAAAGTTCCTTACCTTTGTCAGAGGAGAGGAGACAGATTAATAAGTAGATAGATAATCAATATGATAATAGATAGATAGATAATAGATAAATGATAGACTATTGATTCTGTTTATCTGAAGAATGCTAATGTAGAATACAACTCAGCAATTAAGAAGGATGAACCACCAACATGTACAGTGATTTTATCTCAAAAGCATTATGCTAAGTGAAAGAAACCATACAAAGGAGAACATATTGTGTTATTCCTTTTATATAAAACTCTAGGAAAGACACGACTTATCTTGACTGAAAGCAGATGACTGATGACCAGGGGATGAGAGTAGGGAGCATAATTCCTTGAGAAAGGGCACAGGAAAGCTTCCAGGGTGGTGGAAATGTTCAATATCTTGCCTGTGATGCATGTTTTTCGAAATTGTACTACACATTTTAAATTTGTGGACTTTATTTCATTTAAATTATACCTGAAGTCAGAGGAGTAAAAGAATATCAAGGCATTAGCATTACATTTAGCAAATAAAGCAAACTAGAAACATAATGACTGAAGCAAGGTGGAAATTTATTCCTCACATGCATGAAAAAGTGCAGAAGCAAGCAGCATGGTGGGAGATCTTAATCGGAAACTGGCTTTCCACTCCGCCAGTTCTGGATGTGGTCTTCAAAAAGCAGCCTCCAGCATCATAGCAGTCAGAAAAAGGGAGAAAGGGCAGAGACAGAGTCCAAAGAGAGTGTCCCACTGTTTAAACCAGGAACCATTTAGACCAGGGACTTATAGCACATTGAGACTCCGTTTCAAGAGTTGATAAATAGTAAATGCTAGTAATTACACAGTACACTATTGAACCGACCCTCTCTTAGAGTGCGGGTATAGTGACCTCTCTCGAAGACATTCAGCAAAGTGAGTAGGAATGCAGTGAACATTCAGTTGGTTTATTTATGGCACTTCTTTGCAGTCAAAGAGAGTGTCCCACTTATTTCACAACTTTTTCATCACATCTGGAATTTGTTTTCCTGCCACCATAATGTCTTCTTCTCCCACATCACATTCGAATAATTCTTTTCCTCTCTGGTACTTGTATTCAACACCACTTTAGAAATGCTTTTCTTTGAGGTCTTACCCTTGACACATTGTCTTGTATTTTATACTTTTAATTCCTAAGCATGTCAAATTTATCCATCTGACAGGAATAGGACACAGTCATATGAAATAGAAGCCAATGTTTGGTAACAATTCTTTAGGAGATATAAATCTATTATCTGGTAAGTACAGAGAGTACCTCACATTTGCTTGAAACCTTAGGAGAAATTTCATGACTGTGAGTAACATAGACTCTATTTATCTTTACTTAATTTTATTATTCTATTTATAATTTCAATGACAGCAATGACTAATACCAAACTTTAATAGTATTGATTGGCACATGTGATGACAAATACACTACATTTTAAATTTGGTTACCTCAAATTTCCCTTAATGCGGAAAAATTAGTTTATTTTGCCAATATACATTTTAACTGAACACATGAGTCTAATGAATAATAACAAATTCTCAAAACATTCCATTGAGAACAACCATCCACATGCCCATCAATTAGTTTACAAAACAGAGCCTGATGAGTTTTGAGGACCAGTCCCCAAAGATCTAATCTGCCTCTTTGTTTTAGAGATGAAAAATCAAAGGCTGAGGAAATTTACACATCTGCTTAGTGGCCAGGTTGTGTTTGTGTCCACTTCCTTATGCTGTAATGGACAGACCCTCACTTGATCAAGCTCAAGAGGCAGAATTGTTAATGGAACATGTGATATAATTGGAAAACCCATCATATATCTGGACCTCAGAGATACAGCATTCAAAATGTTCTGGGACCAGGGAGGACCAAGAACGTTAGCATCAGAGTTCCTGGAATCTTTTCCTCGAGTGTTTCAGAAATAATATTAATAAGTTATTTCCTGATGTTTGTTTCTCTTTACCTGAAATGAACGGATTGATTCTGACTCTGCTCTCTGTGTGTCTTAAGATCTCGTAGCCTTTGCTAACTTGCAATTCATGCTTGCACATACATTGGGCTTGTTAGAAGTCTGGTAATCTCTGTTCACTTTCAGCAGCCATTGTTGACTCATTTCTCTTATATTGTGAAATCTAATTTGCTGAGAAAAAGAATCAGTTTGCCCACCTCCTCTCTGAATGCCAAACCACATCCTGGGTCCTGGGCCTACATATGTCCTTGGGTCAGTTGTCCAATGTTAATCCAATGAGCAGTGCTCAGAATGAGTATGGCCACTGATAGTTGTCCTTGAATAGAAGCGGGGCCATGGCAGCATCACATTAAAAAAGACCATGGGGCACGTCTAGAATTATTGTCATGATTAGTGAACAGAACAAAGGAGAGAACACATATACACAACAATGTTTCTTCCATTCTACCACAGAGGGCTTGCCAATGCTTGACTAGACATAAACATTTCAATTATTAAACTCTTTATATATATATCACTTATGACTATATTTTTTTCTTTTTTTTTTTATTTTTGGCAGTTCATAGAAAATTTGAGGGTCAATGTCAGAAGGAAAAGTAATTTTCTCGTCAGCAGAATCTTGCTCTCTATTTTCTGTAAGTCTTTCATCATGAGAACCTGTTGCTATTGTTTGCTTATGGCTATGTGCAGTGTGGCTTTTAGTGAATAGTTGATCACTTTGCAAATTTGGAAATGAATGAAAAACTGATACAGCAGGGTTTGTATTTGAAAAGTGGAACCCCTGAGATTCTTTAGATTCTTGACCTGTTCTTTCATCTTTCAGTCTACTATCTACATAATAATCCTTGTGGCTAGACAGAAAAGAAGAACTACTGCTATTTAAGCCTGATGTTCCAGGTTCACACAAAGAGGATACCTCTTTGCTACTGGATAAATGATCTCTAGTATTTAAGGGAGTATCTCGCATTTGTTTTGTAGAGAAGAAAGACAACACTCCTCTAGAGGCATGCAATGGACAACTCAGACTTTCTTTTCCTTGAAAATTCTCTGTAGATTTCCCAGAAAGGATTTCTTCTTGAATATCTCTTGGAAGCTGCTTAAAGACTTCTTGGTCAATACCCTCAGGAAGTGAATGGAGTGGAAATTCATTAATATCTTTTTCTTTAGAAAAATCTGTCGTATCTACTGGAGACTCCCCAGTCCTTGTACTTTCAATTCTTCCACTTGGTACAAAACTCCAATTTGTTTTTTTGTCTTTAGAAAAATCTTCCATATGAGTGTCTTTTATTTTAAAACTGCGCTTGCCAGGGCGTGTGGTTGCTAATGATGGTGTTAAGTAACGATCCATAGGCCCTTTCTTCGCGCTACTTAGTTCTTTAAGGTTGCAGAAGCACACACTTAGAAGGGTAAGGTGAAATGGCATCTTCACATTCACCATATTTCGAAAAAGTTTCATAAGTATATCAACCATAGGAGTCATCACATCATTACTTCCTGTCCCTAACTTCTGAATTACATGAGATGGGATAGGGCACTGTCGACTCTCACGACCACAGAGCTTCCCAGATGAAAACCGACGGATTATTAATCTTATTGTATGGGGCTTCCTTCCATCTTGGCATACTCTGTTCAAAAGACTAGTAAGCAGTTCTTCAATCTTTTTTCTGACTTCAACTTCAGATGAACATTTTTTAAATGAATCTTCTTCACTAAAGGACTGAGGTGGCCCTGAGGGTATCACAGGAGAGTTATCTTCTCCAAAACTGAGCTTCTGGATACGCTGAGCAACTGAAATTCCTAATTCCTTTTCTAATATTTTAGATGAAAAGGTTTGGAGATCATGCACACTAGTGATGCCCAGTGCTTCAAGACGTTTAGTAGTTTTATAGCCAACACCAGGCATTTCCTTTATGTGGTTCAAACTATGCATGAGATCTTGACAACTCTCAGGTAATAAGACAGTTTGTTGATTTGGCTTAAAGACGCCAGAGACTAATTTTGCCAGTAGTTTATTAGAAGCCACTCCAGCACAGCCGGTGAGTCCCAACTGATTGTACATGGCTTCCCGCATCTCTGCTGCAATTTGAGACCCAACAAGTAGCCTGATGTGCAGGACATCATGCAGGTTTACAGGTTGATTATTGTACACATGACCCGACACAGTCGCTGCAGAAAGTTCATCACTTGGAAGCTGCTGTAATCTCTTCTCAACTATTTCTGTCAGATCCACAAAATTTTCATCAAATCCAAGTCTCTCAACAACTGGACTAAATTCTTCCAGCAATTCTGTAACCTTATATGACATTTCTCTGTAACGGGTCAAGTCTTCTCCATTAACTAACACCAGCTGTGGACACTTTTCCTTTGCATCCTTGACAGTCATAAGTTTCTTAACTCCAAGTTTCCTAGCTTCATAGTTGCAGGTAACCACTAAATATTTCTGTTGGACCCCTAAAGGCTTGTCCTTTAATTCTGGATTTGAGATCATTTCTACCTGTGCATAAAAGCAATCCAAATCCACGTGGACTATGATTCTGAATGAAGAAGTTCGAGTTGGGACCACTTGATCATGAACTGACACGGCCCGGCAGCTCGCGACCGGCTCCGCCTCGCCGCCCTCGGGGGCTGCGTCCTCCACGTGCCGGCTGCGGGCTGACGCAACCCACCTTGCACCTGCAAGACGAAGTCATCCCCCACAAGGGATGCCCCTTGCCTGAGAAACACGAGGCAGATAAGGGAAACCCTCCCTGGGACAGGGCCGGGAAAGCGAAAGGCGCCGGAGGCCGCAGGGGCGCCCGCCCGCGCCTCCCGCCACACCCTCCTCGTTTACGCCCTCAGAGCACCCTGCGAGCCGCCTGCCGCCTCCGCGTCCGCCAGCTCCATGGCCCAAGCCTCGTCCTCTTCCTCGTCGCCGCCGCCTTCCTCCTCCGACTCCACCCCCAGCGTCGCCATGCTCCACTTATGACTATATTAAAGATGAACAAACTTACTGTAAAATAGCAGTCATGGCTGGCAAGCCCAAAGACAGACGCAAACAGTAGTAGGCCAGTCAAGAATAAGAAGTAGACAACCTCTAAGGCTGGGCCTTGTCAGGGCTGGATGATAAAATACTTGGTTCTACAGCAGTTGGTACCTGGCACACAATTCTTAATGTCATTACTGTTACCCAGTGGCAAACACAGAGGAGCTAATTGGGCATAGAAGTAGAACCACTAGACAGATATTCCAGGGGGTAACAAGAGGGGTAGCACAGCTCTTCTGCAGCTCCAGAGCTCCCCAGCATGAGCTGGAGTAACCAGAAGTCATCGGGGTAGGTGGCACTAATTATAGCCCTACTGGAGAGCTGGAGGGATAAGAGACTATTCACATGAGAATCATTGGCATCTGTGTATGACCTGCCTGCCTAATGAGTTTCAATTTAATGGGGGAAGTCATTGAAAGTATTTAATTAGTGCCATTTCTTATTAAATAACATGACCTGGATGAGATGTTATTTAGCAAAACTACAATGCACACAGCAAAAACAAAAACTATATCAATGTACATGAACAAAATCATGTACATGAACAAAAATCTTATTTGAATGATTTATGAAAATCCATATAATTGGTTTAGTTGTGACTACAGATATCCTAAATGTTCAGAGTTGAGATTCAAACATATCTATGCATCTTTGTTTGAAAATTCTTAATATTTGCTACATAAAGGGATAAAGTTCCAAAGCGAAAGGACTCCAAGTTCATTTGTTTCAAATTCCATGTCCTGCAAATTAAAAAGCTAAAACACACAGTGACTGAATCATCAAAGTCACACGTATAGTAACACAATAGAAACAAAAATCCAGCTCTCCCTATGCCCCTGAGTGAGTTAAATGTCATTTAGTATGAGCTCAAATGACTGTAATACAATGATGAAAACAGCAAGCACCATTAGAAAGGTACAAATAAAGTGCTCTGAGAATTCAAATATAGTAATCATCTTTGGGAAGGAGGCAGGCCCTGCATTTCATCTGGTTAGCACAAACTTACCCCGTTGGATGCTTAAGCCTGTTTTTCATATAATTTTATGTAAATTTTTGAAAACTGTATTAAATTCTTCCCTATCTTTTTTAAAATAGCAAGTGGTGAACATAATTTGGCCTTTCTGATAACTATGTCATCATTATGAATTGCTAACACTGCATTTCTGTAAAATGCACACAGTACTGCTTCTTAATTTTCTGCTTCTCTCTTATCTAACAATTGTCACTTCCATGCTGCAAGTTTATGTGTCTGTAATATTACCTCTGCCTTTATAATTTGTTCCTTTTAATCTCCTTTGAGCTGGGAAACCCACAATTATTATGTCCTCGGTCAAGGAAGAATAAACAAATTCCAAGTGAGAGTACATAAGCCTGTAAGAAGGAAAGTCCATGGCTTTAGTCCGGGGACATGGAAGCTATTTTGGGTACTCAAGGGCCTTTCTTGCTTTTTCTGAGTTTTCATTCCAGGGAACAGGGGATGCTGGGAGTCTGATCTCTGGTCGAGTAGAACATTGCCATGACGGAGCTTTAATAATAAGGGGTTTCACTAAGGATGCCAGATTTTCAGAAGGCTAGTGTGGATGGGTAGCAACCAAGACATCTAGACACATGCAAGGAAAACTCCTAGATTATTGCCAGCAGTTTAAGATTAACCATGACAGTTTCTTTATTCCATTTCTATTGGTAAGAACATAACACTAAGTCCAGGTCTCCTAACTTGCTCAGTCACTCTGAAAGATCAAGGTTAAAACCAATGGTGTCTCGGGGCCAGCGCCGTGGCTCACTTGGTTAATCCTCCACCTGTGGCAATGGCATCCCATATGGGCACCGGGTTCTAGTCCCACGTGCTCCTCTTCCAGTCCAGCTCTCTGCTGTGGCCCGGGAGTGCAGTGGAGGATGGCCCAAGTGCTTGGGCCCTGCACCCACATGGGAGACCAGGAGGAGTCACCTGGCTCCTGGCTTCGGATCGGCATAGCTCCGGCCATAGCGGGCATTTGAGGGGTGAATCAGCAGAAGGAAAACCTTTCTCTCTGTCTCTCCATCTCTCTCACTGTCTATCTGTCAAATAAAACAATAAAAAAAAAAAAAACAAGGGTCTCTTCCCACCATGGAGATCATCCAGAATGCCTGCAAGCCCATCTTATTATTAAAAGCCCATAAAGACTCCAAATAAGACCAAAATATCCTGCTCATCTTATCCCAAAATAGATAATTTTCCCTAAACTCGGTATTCCTGGCCTTATGAAAGCTTGGAATCACAGTAAAAAAAAAAAAAATGAAACACATTTCACTGGCTCTAGGCTCTGACAGAAGTTCCCAAACCCATTGTGCCTTCTAAAATTCCCTATCAAGCATTTGTAGGAAATCCCAAGGGAAACCTCACAAACAAGAACATGGGGCACCTCACTCTCCATCCAGCTGTGATACTCTTCTTACGTCTTCCCCAAAGAATCAAACTTGCCAACTAACATCCCTGTCGTTAAGTAAGCACCTTTTCCAGGCCCTCAATTTTTCACAGAATCAGTTTTGTACACCTATTGCCCCTCCTGCTCCACTGTGCTGGAGGCATCTCTAAAGCTCTGCTATTTGTATCCTAAAGAGTTAAAAAGCTTTCAGGACAATATATGTCCTTTGTTGCTGCTCATATCTACATAGGACTCATAATTCCAGACTGAAGATGCTTGAAACAGCAGTCAAAGCTGAGAAGCAGTGCATTAGCTTTTCATTACCTTAAGTAAAGTAACCAAATGGAGCTTCTTGGGAAGGAGAAGTTTATTTTGACTTCCGGTTTGGAGGCTCTCAGGTCAAGGTCTGGTGGAGGCCAGCAATAGGGGGTGGGGGCGGTGTCCAGAGGAACAATCATGTGGTGATCCAGGAAACAGAGAGAGAAATTAAGTGGAACTTGACTTAAATAACCAACCTGCGTGAGAACAACCTTCTGAGAGCAAGCCCCCAAAAAATCTAAACACCTCCCACTGGGTCCACCTTCCAAACACCATGATTGGACCAAGTCTGTACCCTAATTGATCAACCATTAGCATCAATTCATTCATTGTTAACATGAGACTCTGGGGTTTAAATATCTGCATGAATTTGGGGAGCCAAGACTAGTTCAGTCCACAACAAATATTGCTGTTTTCTGGTTAAAAAGTCTTTGTCAGCCTTTCAATATCTTGGTCCAGGTGGCTGTTCTTTGGAGTCAGTGCTTGCCCAGGAGAAGCTGCAGCCCTGTGCAAGAAGGCCTCTGCTGAATCCAGTGCATTGATTTGTAATATATTTCCCCCTAAAGTTTCAGAATTCAGGTATAGAGGTTGGAAGGGGGGAATGTAGTTGAAATTCTAGCAATCAATAATCTTTCCTCTTCCTTATCCTTACTGTAATTGATCTTCATCTATATAAAATGCCTACATTTTAACTTTAAATTTTATCTTTTCTGTGTCAAGCAAATCAATGATCATTGCATGAAAGCAGTTGGAATTTGAAAGAACTCCTTGATAGCTTGATTTTTTACCCCCTACTTTGCTTCATGACCAACTCTTCTCATAATTCACTTTCTAAAAATGGCATCCTCATGTACATGCTCTCTACCATTGCTTTGAAACACCAATAGGGCAAAAAAAAAAAAAAAGTCAGTGAATAAAAAACAAATTTGTACCCTGGGGAAATGTGTAAAAGTTGAGTGCTAAAAATGTTTCATATTTTCTAGAAGCTTACATTCTTATCAAAAGATAAGTTCACTCAGATATAGTCTTTATTAATTTTCATGTTTTTGAAGCAGATACAATCATTTTGCCTTTGTTGGCTCAGAGAAACAGCATCCTTCCCAAAGGGCCAGGGACTAGGTAAATACAACAACTATGCTAAATAGTCATCTACTAATGTATCTCAGGGACTGAGATTCTTTTAAGAAAAAATTGGAAAAGTACTATGTGTTCTCAGGTTTTGGAAGACTGGACAGGAAAGCAGGGGAGGGCTTGAGTGTGCATGAAAAAACAGGTTCTCAGCTTTGGTTGTGGCAAAGCCCCACACATCCAACAGATCTTTTCACAGTCTTCCCAGAGAAGTCAGATCCCAGTCTATTATCCCATTGTGGCCACTGCCAGTATAAGGCCAGGAATCCACTCTGCATTCTGGAATAGGAAGCTGGGGGCCAAAGGAACAGACCAAAGACTGCTTATACACTCGCTGACCTATAACCCAGCTGTAGCAACATAAGCACAAGATACACACACACACACACACACACACACACACACAGTATTTTACTACAGTGTAATCTGGCTTCCATTTCTGTGGCTTCCACATCTAGGATTCAGCCAATCTCAGATTTAGAATATTTGGAAGAAAACATCATCTGTACTATACATGTACAGATTTCTTTTTGACATAATTTACTAGTTACTACAGTATAATATTTACATAGCATTTACTTTATACACAGAATTCTAAGTAACATAGAGGTGATTTAAAGTATACAGAAAAAATGGATGCAACTAGTAACCATTATACTTAGTGAAGTATGCTAGTCCCTAAAAGACAAATACCATAAGCTCTCCCTGATCAGTGATAATAGAGTACCTAACTAATAGAGCACCTAAAAGGTAATCTATAGGAGTGAAATTGACACTTTGAGTTGTGATAATTCTTAGCAAGTCTTATCTCAACTATTTAGGAACATTATGTTTTTTTTTTTTCTTCATACTATTTGTTGAACTCTTTACTTAGTGTAGGGTTAATCTTATGAGTGTAGAGTTAACTGAAAGTAGATCTTTGTAAAAAATAAAATGGAAATAAGAGAGGGAAGAGGAAAATGGGTGAGAACATGGGTGGGAGGGAAGGGAGGGTGGAAGGTACCACTATGTTTCTGTACTATATCTGTATAAATGAAATACATGAAATTTGTATACCTTGAAAAAAATGTTATAAAAACTGGAAAAATGTAAACAGAAAGATA